ACCATCCATAACTATCAATGCATTTTACTGCATGTTTCATCAATTTCTGACTGAAGTTAGAATTCTTCAAGTTCTTCAGCACTAGTTTTTGTGGTTGGTGAATAAATTTGAGTAACAGTTGCATTGATGCCATTCCCTGGAAGTCAGATAGATATAATCTGATCACAGATAGCATTGTTCTTTATGATGGATTTAGTAAGATCCTTTCTGACAATAAATGCCATGCCTTCGATTGTGTCATGCCAAGCATAGTACATAATATGATTTTCTGATTCAGAATGGCCAATACTCATCCATTTCAGGCCACTAATCCATTTCCAATTTTCCTAAAATCATACTTCGCACATTCCAAGTTCTAATCATTAGAAGATTTTTGCAGCTATTTTGCTTTACCTTGAGTGGTACCCTATCAGCAAATGAAGATCCAGAAGGATCCACTCCCACAGGCTTTACTGGACTCACATGGCCATGGTCGACTCCCCTCCAAGAAATCATCTGTCTCCCCACCATTTGTCTGTCAGCTTGTGAGACTGTGGTGGCTTGTGTGTTGCTGTGATGCTGGAAGCTATGTCGCTGGTATTTCAAATGCCAGCACGGTCACCCAAAGTGCATGGGTTTCAGCGGAGTTTCCAGACTAAGAACAGACAAAGGAAGGAAGAAGCCACTGAAAACCCGAGAGGGGGCACGTCTAACATATAGTAATCAAACCCAAGCCTGGGGGAATGGAAGTCAGTTGATAAATGGTTCCCAGACTCCCTCTCCTCCGGTGGGACAATTCTGAGGCATATTCCAGAAGGTGTCCAGAAGTCTCCAGCAAGATTAAGCCCCAATTGACCACAGGAACAGCCTACTCATTCATTGTTGTTATGTTAATTGTTGTTCGAATTCATGAAGGCTTTACAAATAAGAAGGCCACTCCTTCTCCATCTGACCTCCAAGATGCTGCTGAGGATTCACTCCAAGGCCCTCTTATTTTAATTCAAGATTTTCTGAATGAAATTATTGATTTTTATGAATTTAAATGTCATCTATATTGGTGATAGTCCTCAATTTATTTCTTTGGCTTAGAAAACTCCTCAGTTAATCTATTTCTCCCTGCCACTGAGTCAATTCTGACTCATAACAACACTATAGGACATAGTAGAACTGCCCCTGTGAGAATGCCTCATTTGTCTCCTGTGGAGAGCTAGTGGTTTCAAACTGCTGACCTTGCAGTTTGAGTGTTGCAAGGAGGGAACTTGCCAGCTCTTAAGCTCAATGTGTAACCTACTATGTCAATCTAAATTTAGGTTCTAAACTCAATGCCATCAAGTCAACTCTGGCTCACAGACAGGATAGAACTATAGGGCACGATAAAATTGGCCAAGTGACTTTCTGAGACTGTCACTCTTGACAGGAGTAGAAAGCCTCATCTTTCTCCCACGGAATATCTGGTGACTTTGATCTGCTGACCTTGTGGACAGCAGCCCAAGGTTAATAACCACCATGCTACCAGGGCTCCCTTAAACCAATCTATAGATACTATTAAACATTTGTTAGGGTGTCTCATAGGCAAACAAAACATTTCTCTAAATGTGTATCCCTATCAGTGAGCCCTGGTGGTGTAGTGGTTAGACACTGGGCTGTGATCTGCATGATTGGCAGTTCAAAACTATGAGCAGTTCCTCTGTAAACAGTTACAGTCTTGGAAACCCACAGGGGGTCACTATGAGTCAGCAGTGACTGCATGACAGTGAGTTAGGTTTGGGGTTTGGCCCCTCCTATGACATGACCTGGCACCAGTAGCCCCTCCCTTGCTCAAGGCAAAAACCTAGTCATCATCCTATTATTTCCTTTATTCCTCATGTTCATTTAAAAATCCAATAAATTCAACCTTTAAGATCTATTTCAAGTTCACTTTTCTTTATATTCAAATGGTATCATCACTCAGCTGGCCTATTCCAACTACCCCTTAACTCAGTTCTTTGCTTATTCACCTTCAATCCAGTCCTCACATAGGAGACAAAGTGAATTTTTTTGTGTGTGTGCTTATATCACGTTTGTTTTTTATTTTTTTTTAAATCATTTTATTAGAGGCTCATACGACTCTTATCACAATACATACATACATCAATTGTGTAAAGCACATTTGTACATTCATTGCCCTCATCATTCTCAAAACATTTGCTCTCCACTTAAGCCCCCGGCATCAGGTCCTCGTTTTTTTTCCCCTCCCTCCCCGCTCCCCCCTCCCCCATGAGCCCTTGATAATTTATAAATTATTATTTTGTCATATCTTGCCCTGTCCGACATCTCCCTTCACCCACGCCTAATTTCTCATCACATCAAAATAAAATGTTCTTAAGCGTACTCTACAAAACTGTGCTTAATCCGGTCTCATCGATCTCTCCAATCTTGTTTTGTGCTAGTTCAACACAGGTCTCTGTCCACGTCCATGAAATGCACTGTGATGAACATGGGGGTGCATGTACTTGTGTCACAGCCCTATTTTCTCTGGGATATATGCCGACTAGTGAGATTGCTGGATAAGATGGTACTTCTAGTTCGTGTTTTTAAGGCTGTGTCGTACGGCTTTCTACAGTACCTGTACCACTTTGCAGTGTGTAAGAGGTCTCATCTCTCCACACGCTAGCCAACATTTGTTGGGTTCTTTTAAAACTTTTCTATTATGACTCAGGTGAGATAATACCTCACTGGCATTTTGATTTGCCTCTAATGAGGATTGTGAGCATTTCTACATATTTTTGGGCCACCAGTGTATAGTTTCTGTTACTTAGCATAATGGCTTTGTTGTTGGTATTGAATCAGTAACGTGTGTGTAGTTGAGTAGTACTCCGTTCTAAGGATATACAATAAATGTGTAGTGATCTCATTGAAAATTTCATTCTCATTTGTCTAGGTGATAGTTTTGAACATCCTTCAAATGCTTATTTGCCACCTACAGCTGGAATTATGAGTTCTTCATATATTCTGAAAATAAATTACTAGGTCTTTCAAATACTTTGTCTGTGGCTTACCTTTCCATGTTCCTAAATCTGCCAAAGATTAAACCAAGACCAAACCCATTGCCAGTGAGCTGATTCTGATTGACAGCAACACTATCTAGGGCTTCGAGGATGATGATCTTCAGGCGAGGGACGCAGCTGCCTCCCGTGGAGCTGGCTGGAATACTCACCTTGAGGCTAGCAGCCCAATGGCTAACCTACAGCACGTTAACTCTGAAGGCCACTGTTTCATTTTTCCCCTTGTGCTTCATCTTTTTTGTGTGCTCTATGGAGCTCTTCGCCTAAACAATGTCATTAAGATTTACTCATTTATTTCCATTAGCTTTATAAGTTTAGGTATGATTTTACATGAAGGTCTATAATCCATTTAGAGCTTTTTGTAGATGGTGAGAGGTAGTCTGAATTTCTTTTGCATACAAATATCTAATTTTTCCAATATCATTTATTAAGGACTATTATTTCAATATTCAATTACGTTGACACCTGGGCCCCCTATCAATTGGCCTTGTATGTCTTAAGCTATACTTATGGGGATGGTTATTATGAGGCCCAGTAAAATGATGTCACTCAAGTGAACCAGGCATATCAACCATAGATGCATGAATCTATTTTGAGCTATTGGCCTCTCTTCAAGATCAGATTCTCTAGCTCTATTTAGTTTTCTGAAGACATTTTTTTCCTAATTGTTTTCATTTGGCTGCTTCTTAACCAGGTCTCTCCACTGACATTTCATTCTAGCATATTGCCTGGTAGCGCAGTCGTTACCCATTGGGCTGCTGTCTGCAAGGCCAGCAGTTCCCCATCACCAGCGGCTCCAAGGGCGAAAGACAGGGGTGTCAAACACTCACAGGAGCAGTTCTACCCTATCCTGTGGGGGCGCTGTCAGTCTCAACTCCATGGCAGTGAGGTTTTTTTGTGGTTAGCACATCAATCCATTGTTTTAAAGTCCCTGAATAATAGTTCCAACACGTTCTCTCTGAATTTGTTTTTGTTGATTGCTTTTGATAATGGGCTGTTTATTCTTGAGTCTATTGCAATTATTCTTGTTGAATGTTAGACATCATGAACACAAGGAACGGAAATCGCTTCCAAGTGAGAATGTGCACACGTCTGTCAGTTGTGTGTCGCATCGTGCTGGGTTTGGGTTCTGTGTTGCTATTGTCGCCCTTACTGCACCAAAGGCTTCAAGCTTACCTGTGGGTGACTGCTGATGCCTCTTGCTTGGAGTGCACTTGGACGACAAAGGATTTGTCCCTCTGAAATTCCAGGGATTCACACGTGTGACCTGCTTGTGTGGTGGCCACCTCTCTGTTGCACATTCCCTTGTGCCATAGATGGGCGTGACAGACTTTAGGAGTCAGTTTTCTGTTTGCCACGCAACCTCAACTCTCTGATACATTCAAGCAAAACCTTCACTTTGTCTGATATTCAGGTTTTTTTCCTCCTTGTTAAGTTAGGAATAACAATCTCTTGAGACTTTCCACATTCTATTGAGAAGCAGAACTCTTCAATGCCTCTACTGAAGTTAGTTATTCTCTTAATTTATCATTATTTCCATCATTGTACTTATTAAAATTTGTAATTATTTTTTACTAGACTGTCTATACTAGACCTTAACCACATAAGAACAAATGTTATTTATCTTATTCATTATATTCTCCTATAACCCAATATAGTATTGGACATGTAGTCCTCAAAATTAAATGCAGCGATACATGGAACACATATATATTTTCGAAAATAGAAAGTAATGAATAATTAAAATATTCATAAAATACAGAGTGGGAGCAGAACATGGAGGGGAAAAACCAGAGCCCAAAAGCTACATTGGGGAATTATAACCTGAACTACCTATTAGATTTTCATTCTTTATCAGCCCTAAGAATCTGGCTATAATGCTGACCAAGTAGACAAAACACACAGATAGAAAAATGATATCAAACCATTCTTTAATGAAGCTCTAAGAGAAATGGAAATAAACGAACCAACAAAATGTAGATCAGTAATTGCTCATTGTTTATTCTTTTACAAAAAGACACTTGGAACAAATAAATATAAAATGGTATAGGTCTTATTCAGTAATGGACAAGTACAGTTTCCTGAAACTCTCCACAGTAATCGATGAATGAAGTTTTCAGAAGTACTCACCCTACCCTTTCCCTTGGATGGTAGACAGGGGTGGGGAGTGATTTTTAAATTTTCCACCATAGATTCCGCCCCCACCCAAAGTAATCCAAGGCTGATTCAGAGACGAAGACATCTGAATCCACAAGTTAAAAAATATATATGAATATAGATTTCATATACTGACTCACTTTCTAAGTAAAACCAATATATGGTATAGCCTAGAACCAACGAATGATGTCCTTATATGCTTTTCATTTTTTTACAACTTGCACAAAGAGCCTGTCCCAGTCAAATCTGCATGGTAAATAGTGTAGAACAGAAAGTTGGGTACAATATATGTGCTGCTACTCTAAAACATTAATTTAAATATGGTTAATATACAGTGGATATGCCATGTATTTTCATAAAGCCAACACAATCTTGACTTTTTTATACTTTATAGGCAGTGCAGCGAAAGGAAGAGAAATAACAAGCCATTCGTGACCAGATTTAGCTAATAAGAGAGACACTCTCTCTGTTGGGCTTGTAAGACACCAGTATGAACAGTGATGGTTACCCAAGTCCATTTGTTTTACTAAAATCCACCTTCAAACTAACACCTGAAGAACTTTGCTAATATTACAGATGAAATAGTCTTACTTAATGACTTTTCCATCGAATGGAAATATGTACAACAGTAATTTCAAATCATAACTAAAGGAATGAGTCTTTCATCTGCCCTTTCAAAATATATTTTTTAAAGTTCATTTCAAGTAATACCTTACTTGATGCTTTATAACCACTTTTCACTTTCCAAAGACCATACAGAAAGGCCGAGAAGAGGATTTAAAATATTTCAAGGGTCTTTATCACAACTGCCATATGCATTGGTAACCTAGGGCTTTGTATTTTCTGGATGACCTAGGTCTTGCACAAAGTTACTACATTTTACTGGATTCCCTGTAATATCAGAAACATGAATCTTAAAATAGAAAAAGTGGTTATTTTAAAAATAAGCTTCCTCCTTCACAACTCTCCCTCTCCTACATATTTCATGAAGAAAATTAATCTAATTGCTTTAGGGCTGATTTAATATTTGCTAAAAAACAACCCCTGATAAGCTCATCTACCATCTATACTTGTGTATAAACTGAGTTTTTCAGCACATTTTTAATGCAGATTTTGCGGTAAAATTAGGTGCCTCGGCTGATATTCGGGTCAGCTTATACTCGAGTATATACAGTATCTTGCCAGAAGAGTCAGTACCAAATTCATCTATTTACAATGAGGTTTCATGGAGAGTGGAAGTACAAAATTGTCAATACACATAGAAACAAATATGAGGGGGAAAGCACCTAAAGAAAGAAAAAAGGCTTTTCCAAAGTATCCCTCTTCAATAAATTCACTCTTCTGTTCAACCTTAAAGAATAAAAGAAAGAAAGAAAGAAAGAAGACAGCAGCAACAGCCTACCTGCCACGGCAAAACAGGGTTGCCTGTTGCTATAGACACAATAGCTTACATTCTCCAAAAGACTTCAGTTTTCATGTGTTGTATATGTCTAAAAAAATTTTAAACATCGAAAGCCAATTTCAGTTTAGGGGGAATTTTTTTTTTTTTTAATTGTAAAGGAAGTTCATTAAGGTCTGAGAATAATGTCCTAACTGGCAAATTACAATTCTCCAGAAGTGCAAGTCAACATCCAACTGCCCACAGTGAGAAGCTGGGACATCAACACACGCAGGCAGGATTGTGGGTTGATTAACCTCCCTGGTGATGGACGATGGGCTGTCATGATGGAAGCAGATGATGCGCACTGCTCACCAGCACTGTGGTTCCACTTTGTGGCAACATAGGAACCCCAATTTCACCCCAAAAATCTAAGTCCAGAAGATGATCTCAAAGATGATACGAACATCGGTTGAGTGGAACCTGCCTGCTAGGATCTTTTATTTCTCTTCTCTTTTTTTTTTTTTTATTTCTCTTCTCTTTAAGGCTACAGAAAATCAGCACATTAACAAGGCAAACATTTTCATAATACAAATCCCCACAAACTGCCAAGATCCCGTCAGACCCAGCGGAGAGTACGTCAGCTCACATTCTATTCCACAGGTTTATTTCCTTTTGAGTCTGCAGGGTTCAGGTCAATTTTTTCCGGAAATAACAGCTTCTCACAAATTGCCTCCTTTATCGGTAAATGCTGCGAGATTTCATTAGGCTCCGTGAAGAGGGCAGGTGAGACATGCTGGGAAATACATAAATTACATTAGTATCTTCTCTTCGGTGATGATCGCATCAGCATCTTTTGAAAATCTTTTGATTCAAGCATTCATAAAGCACACCAATGTTAACATAGAGAGTCATAAAGGAGCGCCATTAAATACTCCTCTACTAATAGTTCCCTGCTGCTTCTGAACATTCAGCTTCCTCAAAGTGTATCCAAAAACTCAAACTCCCTGCCATCAAGTCAATCCACACCCAGCGGCCCTACAGCACACGGTAGAACTCACTGCCTCTGTGTATTCCAAGACTGCACATCTTTATAGGAGTAGAAAGCCTCATCTTCCAAATTGCTGACCTTGCTGTTAGCAGCCCACTATGCCACCAAGGATCCTTCAAAGTGCATAGAGTTACATAATTTATAATATTCCTTATATGTCCTAAGAACTTAATACATTTAATCCAATCACCGGTATCTGTTGCTTTGTATCTTCAAAGCAATGGCCATCAAGTAGAGCCCAGTATAGAGTCTACACAATTTTTCTACACCCATGAAAACCAAAAAGCCCTGGTTGCACAGTGGGTTACACACTGGACTGCTTAACTGCGTAGTCAGTGGTTCAAATCCACCAACTGCTCCCCAGAAGAAGGATGAGGCTGTCCGCTGCCACAAAGATTCAGAGATTCAGCTATCCTACATAGGATTGCTATGAGTCCGATCGACTCAAAAAATGTCATGGGACATTCCATTATCTTTTAGTTCCATTTTCAATGAGCATTTTAAAGCCCCCTTGTATACATCCAAAAAGAAATTTGGATTTTGTGAAGGTATACAAGTACTAAATGTAAACAGACGAACAAAAACCATCAATTTGTCAGGAAGGTATCTCTTTCCAAGCAACCCTTTCTAGAACCTTACGTTACGAAGGAACCCTTTATATGCTTCAGGGAAAGTCAAACCAAATCCAGTGCTCTCAAGCTGACTACAACTCAGCACAGTCCTGTTGGGGTTTTCTGAGACTGTAAGGCTTTAGGTGAGCAGACATGACACAGAATCACATTTTCAGGAGACTCGGTAGAAATAAATTATAAGGGAGGAAGGCAGTGAAAGAACACCCAGTTGGTATCAGTTATAAACTCTACCACCAAACAGCTATGATCTGGTTTAAGTCACATCTCTGGGTTTCAGTTCCTCCTCGTAAAATGTGGAATTGGATTGGGTGACAGCTAGGTTATCTAACAACCCTAACTGTCCTTATACTGGAGGTAAACTCAGGAAGTTAATGTTCTCATACCCCAAAGAGCCCTTTATAGTAAATAAAGAGACATAAGGCTATGTCTCAGGAAAGGGAAGGGGACTCCACACTTATAGCATTATAAGCCAGCATCAAAAAAAGACTCAAGTATAAATACTGTACCATTAAATTAGCAATTTTGCTCTCTCGTGACGTATATTCTCGTAACATGTAGTTCTTGTCAGCCTATGTTCAAAAAGAAGTCACAATAAATTTATTCGTCTGATTTATCCTATTAAATAGAACTGTCTACAGCATAGATTAAGTTGTGAAAGCAACATGAAGTCTGACATGAATATCTTGTTCTACAATAAGATAATCATTAACTTGCACCAAGAATTCTAAATTATTCATTCTAATCCTTAGATGAGGGGTTTCAGAAATTTTGTGAAAATATTCCATTATTTAAAAACGTACTTTTCTACAAACTTTTTGAAGTCCCTTGTGTATTACAGCCATACGAGACGCACATATTTAACAGATTTTTATTCTCAGTAATAGAAACATTAGCAAAGGTTTCATTTTGAAAGCAAATCAGGAACATTACTGAGGACTGTAAATACAGTGGAGAAGTTAATACCACTTCAAGTTTAGGACTATATCCTTTTCTTACACAATATTAGGACTACTGATTTTTTGGGGTTTTTGAACAGATAGAGTAAGTTTATTGAAGGGGATTACTTTGGAAAAGAAGTCCAAAGAATTAGCTAGTCTTAACATTACAAAACACAAGTTTATGTAATTTTTTTTTGCTCATTCCTATTTCCACACTATTCTTGCTCCCATTTCCACAAAATTCTCCCTTAAGATGTCAATCTTTCACATAAAACACAGGTAACCACTATGCCACCAGAGCTCTAGTGACTAATACTGGTGGTCTCTAAGTAAGCATTAAAAATGATCACAAATCTGCAGTTATAAAATAACTCAGAACGGAAAAGCAGCTAAAAAGCTACTAAGACAAATTTTCAGGCCTCAATTTAATCCCCACTCCCCCTCTTTTCAACACTTACTTTGAAAAGAGTGTACGTTCAAAGTTCCTTCAGAGCCAGTAAAAATGAAGCAGCAACAGCATCAGACCCTCCACTAAGGAGTATCATGTAAAAGGCATTTTCAGCTACTAGAACTTTTGGAAAAGATATAATCTTTCAAAGACGGTGCACAAGCAACAATGAGTCTGATACACCCACTTTAAAGGTTAGAGGGATCTCCATTTGATGCATTGTTTAATTTCAAAATTTCAGGCTACTCGCGAAACAATATAAACAGGCCCAACATGAATGGGTATATTCTCTAAATGTGAACAGATACCTCATGGTAAAGCCTCGTGTCATTCATTCTGATGAGCACACCATCGATTCGCAAGAAAAACCGCAACAAGAGGAAGAAGCTAGATGGCATTACTCTCTGGGAAAAAAGAAAGTAGAGTCCATCGACATTTTAGTGAAGATTAAATCACTTATTACTTTGCTAAAGGAACAAATAAGAGTTAAAAACAAAGAAACAAAAACACCTTTGTAGGTATTATGTACAAATCCCGAACTGGGGGTTCTCTGTCTCAGGTCCAGTGAAGACCCCGCACGTGTGCAGGACTCCCCCGATGCTTCAACAGTTAAGTTCTCAGCCACCAGTGGGAACTCCTCCACCCCCACCCCCAGATTTGCCCTGGCAGATAGGCCAGGTGATCTGCTGCTCAAGTGCACAGCCTGGAGAGCTCGCGCAACAGTTCTGCTCTGCACGTCGGCTCGGCTCGCCAGGACTGACGCCACAGCACTACCACACATGCTGTACCTGGTTAAACCTTATCCTACGTGAAATAAATTATAGACCTAAAAGGACAAATGTAGCATGATTCCACTTATATAAAATATCCAGAACAGGAGATGCCATACACATAAAAAATTTTATGATAACCAGGGGCTGAGGAATTATTGTGTCATGGGTACTGGTTTCTTTTTTTTGTTAGGGTGATTAAAAAAAATTTTTTTAATGGATAGTGGGGTCCTGCCACACAGCATGGTGAACGTGATTGATAACATTAAAATATGAGGTTGAAAATGCTAACATTTTATTGATACATATTTTACCACAACAATAATAAAAACTGAAAACAGTAAACTAATTAGTCACATTTTTGCTTTGTTTTTCTCAAATGGCAGTACTAAATACACTTCTACACCTGAAATCCCAAAATGAAGGTGTTTAGTTGCTACTCGGCTTTATTCGCTGCACAGGGAACAGAAGCAAAAGACTAAATAAGATGGTCTGATTCAGTGCACATGACTAGGTACTATTTCATTTTGCCAAAGACTGGTTTATCAGAACATTATAAAACAAGGAGGCTTTCAAGAAGTATGTGCAAAAATCCTATTATCTTTAAATTCCATTTGTCCGTGAACTTTTTAAAGTCCCCGCATAGGTTCATAAGAACTTTTATCTACGGCAGTGGTTCTCAACCTTCCTTAATTCCGCAACCCTTCAATACAGTTCCTCATGTTGTGGTGACCCCCCCCAACCATAAAATTATTTTTGTTGCTACTTCATAACTGTGATTTTGCTATTGTTATGAATAAAGTGACCCCTGTGAAAGGGTCGTTCAACCCCCAAAGGGGTTGCAACTCACAGGTTGAGAACTGCTTGTCATCGGCATATTTACAAATTTCTGTGTTTTCCACGCATTGTCGTGCACTACATAGAGTCTGTATGGGTAATGTCTGCCTGCACGTACACTTGTGATCTCATCAGATAATAAAAGTTCAAAATCCTGATGAAATGGGAGCAGGGAATGCAACAGCTTCCCCTCCGTAACACGTGTACCTCTCGTCTTGCCTAGATAACAACTAGGAAGCCAACTGTATAATGGTACAGTACATCTATAGCCCACAGTCCATATATCTTCATAATCATAATGAACACCTATGTTACTGGCTTAGGTATAGACGCTACTGTACTTTTTAGTTAAAACTTTACTGTTCATGGTGTATGCTTCAACTCATAGGCGGCAGCATCCACTCTCGTGTAGTGTGCATCTCTTGAGTGCTATGGTAGCATCTCTGTTAAATCTCCTTTCACAAATACTGTCACCAAGTGTACCACGGCTCCCAAATGCAGTAAAACCAGTGTGACTGCACCAACTGGAGGCGAAGGAGAAATACTGATTTGGAAGGGAAACAAAGGTTACTAAACAACTCTACAGAAAAAATAAATAACGGCTGTTGCTTCTGGTTAAGGCATATCCCACTTGACAATCACGAACACAGAAAAACTTCTCTGTTGTTAGAGAAGACACTCCACTGAAACTACAAAGTTAGTAGAAAAGTGGGCGGGACCTATGTCAGGTATGGAGAGATTGCCAATGATACAAACTGAGGACCAAACACAAAAGTGAATGCGAGCACACTGACGATCACTAATAAGACTCAATGATTATTCAAGATACTCAAAAACAAAAGGCAAGGTCAGCCTATGAACAAAATGGTGTTCACACAACATCCAAATCCCATGATATCTAGTCACAGAACGCCCGGTATGTGTAGAATGACCCTTAGCTGAAGAAAGCCAGAATGCTAGGAAAAAGTGCGAGCATCCTCTGTGTAATAGGATGAGACGTAGAGTGTATGGGTCTTTAAAAAACTGTTTGACCGATTCTACCTAAACACTTACATTATAAACACCAAGTTCTTCCTGTAGGCAGTCTTGGATTTATATAAATGAACAGACCACTCCAATGTCCTAGATCTTTATTGACCAGGAGACAGACATGATATATATGTCACAATGCACTGAGGGGAAAGGACCTGTGTTAGATTTACATTTTTTGAAAAAGAGTGATTTGCAACATTTCTTCATATTTCAAGCTTAGTACCTACTAGTCATACTAGCACAAGGGCAGGCAGCAGGTATTTTCACTGGAACTATCATTTCAGCACAGTTCAGGAGAGTCGAAATTAGGAGATCTGAGTTCTAGGCTTTTCTACCGTAATTCGTGTTTACATCTTTGGGCAGTAGTTTTGTATTGTCATTATTAGGAACTTGTGGGACCATCTTAGGTGACAATGAGCATGTGATCAATAAGAAAAAACACACTTGTATACACACTCCTAAACTTTCAGCAGTAAGAAAAAACACAAGACAAAGAACTCAAAACCCAACTCACTGCCACAGACTTGTCACTGACTCACAGTGACCCTACAGCAGCCCTCAGAAATAAATCATTGTTCAAAAACCTCCTTTGGAAAAGCTATGTTAAAGTTTAAAATATGCTGTAATGGTGTGGATTTTATTTGAAAGCATGTGGGAAAATATAGAGTTTTCAGCCAATTAGTGTGATAATTAAGTTTATTGTACCAACCTGGCCAATAGGAACATGTGGGATTTATCAGGTCACAGTTTGATTAGAGGACAAACAGCAAGGCGCATCCCCCTCTCTCTTGGTCTCTGGTGATCAGACCAGCGTGCTGTTGCTTTAGATCGTTCTCTGCCTCAACCTGTGAGCTACACTACTTGTGGGTAGCGTAGCTAGAGTTTGAGGCGCTTTTAAGGCCTGCTTCACCACACTGCTTGAGCTTGAATCTGGTGGATCCTGTTGCCTTGCATTGCTTGAGTTTGATATCTCATCCGGGCCTGCTCTGCTAAGCTCCGGAGCTACTGACTATTGCTGACCCACCCTGCTGCTTGCTGCTTGTGGGCAGACTCTGCCTGCCCTGTCCATGGGAGGACTCAGCTGCCTGCTTCCTTGACCTTGGACCCAGCAGCCCATGTGAGTTGAAGACATGCAGTATATGAAATGGTCCACGGAAGTGAGTTGAAATGAGCCCTCTGTACTGTTGTGTGGACTAATTAGCTGTTATATTCCTTCTCGCTCTATGAACCTATATATAGTCAGGCAAGCACCACAGAAAAATGTGCCTGAAATGCCTTCCTTATGGAAGATGTAAGTGGAGAGCACCTGGCAAGGGCTGTGAAGATCATCAGAGTTCATTCTCTAAGCAAGAGCTGGATGGATGAACAACTACCACAACCCACAGGCTCTGAAGAAATACACAAGTGACCGCCTTGATCTACCAGAAGCCTCTCCCGTAGGTAGCCAAGGGCATTTACACCTAACCTTGAAATCCGAGACCACCTCCTCTAAGAAGCCTTGCCCAACCTGTTCCCTCAATCCCTCTCATCTGTTTATCCATATTTCCAGTCAACAAGCATTCCGAAAAAGTGTCCTACGTGGAGTCAAATAAACACCACTCCTTGCATACAGCGTTGAACAAGTAAATCCCCAATCTAGGTTTGGAAAGCATGAAGGGGAGGAAGATCTACATTCTGTTCCCCTCTCTTACTGTCACTGTGGAAGAAGCATCTCTCTCTCCTCCTGTCAGACTAATCTCTTTGCCAAGATCTAGATCACAGAGGATTCTGAGCATGGACAGAGTCACACTGATTCACTGTGGAATCTTGTGTAAATTACGTAATCTGATTCTCCATTTCCTTACCTGTAAAGTAGATATGTTTTCACCACACAGCATTTTCACCCAGATTAAAGGAGCTGCTGAAACTAAGTATCTAGCCCAGCGCCTTATATTTAGAGAAGGCTCCAAGACCTGCTGTGCCTCTCATTCCTCATCCCATTCACTCTCTCTCCTCCCTCAACCGCGTTCTGTCCTATGGGCACACCAACAAGCCAGCGCTCCCCGCGTTAAAACACAAACACACACCCCTCTGCCAGCCTCCTGTTCTCTTACCCATGTCTCCATTTCTTCGCCCACCTTTTTGAGTTTCTTCTCTCATGTTTTTGAAGGTCTGCTATGATTTTGGTCTCAATCGCTCCATCTTTCATTCTTTTGCAAATCACATAATTGAAACTACTCTTGCCAAAGTCACTAACATCCTAATCAATAAAATAAATTATTTAAAGACCAGTGGGAAACACCCCGTTTTAAAATGACAAGACTTCTCAACAGCAGGATACGTAATGACTTTTCCTTAGCTTCCCAGGAACCGCATCCCTCGTTTCCTGCCTACATCCAAACTTACTCCAGGAACCGCATCCCTCGTTTCCTGCCTACATCCA